TGCTAATATGTAGCAACAAAAATGATCAAAAAATATTAACTAAAATTTCAACAACTTTAAAATAAATAACAAAAATAAACAAAATGTCACAGAATGAACTACATCAGAGCAAAGCAAACTCTATCACAGCCCATATTTAACCGTAATCAGAGGTAATATTGCTAAATATTAATAAACATTTATAAATATTAATAAATATTAATAAATATTCATAAAAACTATACCCTCAGAGCAAAGACAACATTAAAGTAGATGGATAGACTTTCTTGCTTCTCCAAAGTCTTTTTCTTGCAGAGTTTATTGGAGTAACCGACGAATAAGACATCGTTAATTTTTATCTCGTATTTGTGTGTACAGATGTGAGTGTTCACAGTCAGTAGCAGATTTGCTAACACTGGGTCTTCAAAGCTGTATAAATTTTTTTATTATAACTGTTGCTATTAATTATAGTTATATATGAATTTAATGAATCTTAATTATACATATACACACACTAACACACACACACTAACACACACATACACACACACACACACACACACACACATATATATATATACAATGAAGAAAAAGTATATATTCATCTTACATACCCAACCAAAACTCCATTTTTAATACTAGATAGTCCACTTTCGCTGAAAAAAATAATAAAATATTATTAACTTATTTAACAATAATTACTATTATTATTTTTATTATAGTTAATCTCATGCAGTAACCTATTAGGCTAATAATCTAATAATTTTTAATCTAATCTAATAATATCATTATTATTTGTGGTCAAAATATTATTATTATCATATTATTATTATCATATTATTATTATTATTATTGTAATTTTATTTATTATTATTTTTATTATTATAATTGTTGTTATTGCTATTACTTACTTGCAGACAGAATATGATGGTGTTAAAGACGGTTTCAAGGCATAGTAATGGTTTGATAAGATGGCTGTGTTTGATTGGTTTATAACTTTATAGATTTTCATTTAAGATACTGATAAAAGAAGATAATGTGTAATGGTCATCAAAGAAATTATTAATTAATTTAAATTAAAAAATCATTTAAAAAATTAGGATTTAAAAAAGTTTTAAATTGAGAAAAAAAATCAGATTGAAATAAGGATAAATAATTAAAACTAACAATTCAATTTAATAAATTAAATAAAATTTTAAAATAATAATAGAAATAAAACAAAGTTAATCTAATTTCAACTTTAATAATATTTTAATAATAATTAAAATTAAATGTTTCTTACATTTTTTCACAAAAAAAACTGAAATTCCAACCTAAAACGTCACGACTTTCAGCATTTTTAACGCTATTAGGGTACCTAAAAAGTAATTTTTCGCCTCCTGTCCAGGTGGAGGCCAGCAGAATGCACACCGGATCGGAATTCATCATACACCCCAGGCACTTGTTAAATCTAAGTTAGAAAATTTTTTTCGTGTTTACTTTTAATCAATCACCAGCGATGTGCAAGTTTTTTTTGTTTCGTCAAAACTATGTCGTATTTGATTCTGGTATAATGACATATACATATATGTAGAACATAACATATTTAGAGTATATATATATATATATATATATATATAGGAGTGGTAGGAAGGGGTCGTCCGCGATTGGGATGGAGAGAGCAGGTGGAGAAGGACAGGGTGAAAGCGGGGTTGCGTGATACTGAGGCGAGTGACAGATGTGGATGGAGTCGAGGGGTATTTCGGTTTCATCATAGGTAGCCAAACGGCAACCCCCGATCTCGGGGAAAATGCCGTCTAAACGTGTGTTGTATATATATATATATATATATATATATATATATATATGGCCATATACTTAGAATACTTAATGCATATAAAAAAGGTTCTAAGTGTTTTCTAGTAGTATCATCCTATAGTCTATCACTTTTTTCCTTAAAAATTTCACTTAAAATGAGAGCATAATTTATAGGTAACAGCTATAATAGAAATAAGACATCTAATCCTATTTAAAATTAAGATTTCCATGATTTTGCATATTTTTGTTTTTAAACACTTGTGCAACAAACATATACCATACAGGCAAACAGATACACGCAAACAAACAGACAGACACCCACACAAACACACATACACACCCACAAAAACATTACGAAACAGACATGCAAGCATACGATCAATTTGGCTCCGTCTTACCATTTGAAATTTTCATAACTATCCTACTTTAATTGAACCAGAAACATTACAAATTTTTCATTTGCTTCAAACTCATTTGATACGGCTTATGTTGTTTATATTACACTACATAAAATAATTAATTATTTACACAAGATGTGTAAGTACACACACACACACACACACACACACACACACACACACACACACACACACAACACACAAACACAAACAAAAATATTTGTTTACATATTTATTATACGCTCATCTATCTATATCAACACAACAAATTTTAAAAATTGTCTACAAAACTTTAATTTCATGATGATGACATCTTATTGATCACATCAAAGGAAAATTTCAGTGTCATCTATCCAATTAAATTGTATCACAGTAATGACGACAACGAATTTATAAGTTCATGCCGCGATATATTGTTAAATCATATAAGTTGAAAGAGTTATAAAAGCAATAGCAAAATTGAATGACATTATAAATTCAAGTTAAAATATTAACAACCATTATTTAAACGTTTTCAAGAATCACTAAAGAAAGATTTATAAAAAAAGTGTCTACACTCAGAAGAATTAAAAAACTGTTTAAATATTCTTTGGCGAAAAATTTTATGGTATTATATAGATTAAATCAGACAGATTTGGCATTTTCAGTAGAAGTTTCAAGTTAAATTTGATAAAATAATATAATAATAATCTCATGGAACGATTTTAAACTTTTTCTGTTTGATTAAGTTGATTAAACAGAATCAATCGGCAAATATATCACGTCTCTTTGAAGTTTTCGGCCTTTGAATGTTGTTGGCCCACGGGTTAGCCAGCAGTGGCGAATCAAACTCCTCTTCATTATTTTTAGATTTTCTATTTGTTGCATCTGTCAGGTCGATGTTAAATTCGTCCATATTAATTTTAACGTGACGATCATCCCGTTTGTCACCGCTGACGTAGACATTTTCGTGTCTGTTGTTAGTGTGGAGCTCTTCCACTTCGTTGTGGTTATCATCATCATTTTCGTTCATGCTCCCGTGTATAATCAAACGTTTGAACTGCTCAAGATTCTCTTCCAACTTCTCCCTTCGTTTTTCCTCTTCCTCATAAGCACCACCACCATCTTTTTTTCTCTCAAAATTATAACTTCTCGATGTCAATTCATCGAAATCTTCCATCTTGATGGCTCTAGAGCCAATTAACTGTTTGTTTTCATTCATTCGCGAGCTTGATCTTGATTCAGAAACATTGGAAACGTCGTTGACTGCTTTAGATTTAACTGTTTGATCATGGTGTCTCGCTACGTGCACTGGTTTTATTTCATCCTGAATGTCGATGTTGAATAAATTTTGCGGAGCGTGGATCATTTCTTTGGTTACCAGAGCATCAAAATCTGTCAGCGATGGTTTTTGCTTGTCAATTTGGAAGGATATCGTTTTTTGTGGCGATCTTAGGATGTCTTTTTTATTGTTGTGAAGATGTTTGGCCGGCGATGCATCGTGATTTGATGATTTGCTCGTTAAATTGGAGTTAACTTTTGACGATTTTGTTGATGGTTTAGGCGGGTTGAATAGATTAGTACCAGGCTTTTTCTCGTGTTCGGCTTTCTGATCGATAGTTTTTGGTTTTTTGATGCTCACAGATTTAGCACTTTTATTCTCAAAATGATTATTTTTGTTTTCTTGCTTTGTGTGATTTATATTGCTTGAAGCGTTTTCATTTTTATCCTTTGTTGAATGTTTGGTGAGTTCATTTTTATCTGAATTGATTTGATCATGGCTGACTTTCACGTTATCTTGTTTCTTCTCGTCCAGTTTTTTCATTTCTAACCATATTTTAACCTTTTCTTTCGATGCTGATTTTCTAGCTTCTGACTCTAATCTCTCTCTCTCTTCTTTCTCCCTCTTTTCTCTCGCTATCTTCTTTTCTTTTTCTCTCTTTCTTTTCAATTCTTTATTCTTCTCTTTCAACCACTGCTCAATTTTTTCATTACAATTCTGCCAACAATATGTTTCGTCAAATAAATCCTGTCTGCTTTTTCTCTCTCTGCTGAATGAGTGATTGAGATTGTTCTTCTTAACTGTGGACGCTGTTGATCTCGACGACGACGACGATGATGAACATCTTGACTTCGAGTTATCAAGTATGGATTGGGATTTTGACCTGGATTTTGACCTAGACTTTGATCTTGAATTTGATCGATATCCTAATTTGTTCGAGGAGAATTTTGAAGAATCTTGGTAAGAAACTTTATTTTTTTTAACTAACTTCTTTTTCATTTTGCTACTTTCAGTTGACGCGTCACTTTTAGAATCAGATTTTGTTGAGTTCTGAGAACTTGATTCAAATTTGTTATTCCGTTCATCTTTAGTGTAAGATGTTTTATTGTTACCCCTTTCAGCAGATGAAATACTCTTTTTCTTAGATTTCATTCCTTCATTTTTATGAACTGTTTAAAATATATTTAAAAGAAACTATATTTCATTTTTAGTAAGCATCTAAATCAAATTCAATTGGGAACAGACTTACTTGATGGTAAAGAATCCTTTAAGCTGCTACTGCTATCAAAATCAGAGACATCATAGTGCTGTTCACTCTGATCTTTCTTCTTCACTCTCATTGACGAATGGCTACAAGAATGTTGAAAACAATCACCCTGTAGCGCAAGAGCAGAACTTTGAGATCTGAAAGCGGCTATTTTGTTTCGCGTGAATTCTCTTCTCTTGTTCATGTGGAAGATTAATTTCAGAGTTTCGACTAATTTTTCAGAAGGAACCTTATTTGTCATAGATTTCATTATAAGCCGACGCAGTTCTGAATACTTTCTATCTAGCATGTCTAATTCGAAATCATTCCTTGCCGCTCTTTCAGTTGATCTTGGCCTCCTTTTCACCAACTGACCATCGAAATCAGAGCTACCCCACCTGTTATTATTTTGACATGGTCCAACACTTCGTCCCTGACGATATCTTTTTTCTGCATTGTTACATTCCATTATAAATGGTTGCTAAAATTAACCACGTTGATTTATATTTTCATATATCTCTCAATTAAATTTGATTTTTAACTATTCATTATTTTTTCATTATTTTAATTTTTATTACCATAATGATTATCGCCATAATATTGTGAACTTGATCAACAATTGAAGTGAAGATAGTTGAGAATTGACATTCAAAAGTACACATTTTATTGTTTTGTATGTATTATCAGATGTTTGTATTGTATATGGGTTGTATGTAAGCATGCATATATGTACGCATGTTTTTGTGTGTATCTAGTGCTAACAAAACAGTGTTATTTACATTACCTATGGCGTTGTTTATAGCAACCATATCACCTTGATTGAATTTATAAAAAAACATGATTTTATCAAAAAAATTTGTTTAAGGTAGTAATATATATAAAATAATAAATGTGTTATATTATCAAGTTGTTAAGTATAATCTTATCTGTGATTTAACTATATTTTACAACCAAGTTTATAAGCCATGTAGCTTGTGAGGTTAAATTTCAAATATGAGGCGCTACAAAATGATATTAATTTTATGCATGTAACTACACTGACACTGACGTAAATAAATGTTAAATTAATTTTTTTAAATTCCTTATTCTATTATTTGTCAGATAATTTTTTACTTCATTTAATAATTATTAAATTGACTTTTCAAAATATTAACCAATCCAATAGAATTTTTGTTTTTTAAATTTATAAACGTGTCTTTTAAAGTCCTTGTGATCAGATTGTGTCTGATTGAAATTATTGGCAAAATGAAAATTATACAAATTACAAATTAATTGTTTAATTTTAAATTAAAAAAATTAACTAATAAATGAATATAATAAAAAAAATTAAAAATATGAAGAAAATGGATGATGCCAGATTTAAACCAATCTGCTTCTTCGCTATCTCTTTGTTCCTGGTCAGTAGAGTCATTCATATTTTTATTTAATACAACAACACACGTTTAGACGACATTTTCCCCGAGATTGGGGGTTGCCATTTGGCTACCTATGATGAAACCGAAATACCCCTCGACGCCATCCACATCTGTCACTCGCCTCAGTATCACGCAACCCCGCTTTCACCCTGTCCTTCTCCACCTGCTCTCTCCATCCCAATCAAGGACGACCCCTTCCTACCACTCCTTCAACCTCGAACTCCAACGCTCGCCTAATCCTGACCCTTTCATCCCTTCTCAACACATGTCCATACCACCGCAATCTCGATCTCCCTATCAATGTCACAATGTCCTCATTCAGTCCCATCATTGACATCAGCTCTGTACTACTCCTCCTATCCTTCACTTTAACCCCACACATCATCCTCACCATAGCTCTTTCAGCCCTCTGCAGTACACTTTCCTCCTCTCTCCTCAACACCCAAGTTTCACCACCATATACCATCGCTGCTCTCACACATGCTTTATATACCCTCCCTTTCATCTTCACTGACCATTTCTTTCCACACAATACCCCACCCAGTTCCCTAAATTTCATCCATCCCACACGAACTCTAGCCGTAACTGCGCTCAAACATCCTCCATCCGCGTTCAGCTTATCCCCTAAGTAAACAAAGCTTTCCACTCTTTCAATACCACCGCTCAACCCCGTCCTTGCGTCCGTCCTATTAATCACACCGTGAACACATTTCTTACATTTGAACGTGCCTTCCACCTTTTTCAGTGCCCCCCTCACACCACTACATCTCTTATGCACCCATTTCTGACATCCTATACAGAAATTGATAATTATTTAATAATTAAATTAAATTTTTATTTCAAATTTGTTGTGTTGATATTTTAAAAATATGAACAGTTTTTTCAAACTTATTGAATGCTTCAGTTCTGCTGACACAAAATTAATCATGAAATTTCTATTGAAAACAGGGATTCTCATTTATTCTGGTGGGCCCGACTATCTTCCAGAAATTATTTTTTGGACAGTTAGGCACTGACAATAATTTTACGGAAATATGGTCAGTGTTTTTTGGCCGGGGATTAGGTGCCATAATTGGCTACTACATGGGTTTGTACATCATACCGAAATCGAACACCATGCTTTGGATGACTCTTGCGCTCTTGATTTTGGCTTTCTCAGTTGGAGCCATATCGTTCTGCACTGATTTCAATATGATGTTGATTGTCCTTGTTACTCAGGGATTGAGTGCTTCTGTCACTAGAACAAGTGATTCTATCTTATTTTATTTATATTTTATAATTTAATAATTGTGATATTTTTTAAATATTAAAAAATGTTTGTCTAAGTTTAGCATCTCATTGCTTTTGAACTAGGTCTCCAAAATTTGTCTAAGTCAATGTATGGATCAAGCCCTCCGAGAAATCATGCTAGCTTCACTTACATGTCCTGGGCTCTTGGATGTGTTCTTGGTACACTGCTAATTCTCATGTTTCCTGTCAGTAGGACGGTCATTAATGATGATGCATCCACTTTGTATGTTACTTCAAATGTGTTGAAATCTAACATTACAATGGTCAGTCGACATGTGCGAGCTGTGGAAGATGTGAGCGTGGGAAGTATGATGCCATCTTTGAATTTCAGCGATGGCTCCAAATCGACGTCGCCGTCATTGACATCTTTGTCACCTACATTAGAAACTTCATTGACAGAACTTATTTCATCAACACCGTTATCAGAGCAGTCTGTTTCAACCTCATCAGCAACAACGTCATCATCACTATTACCATTACCATCATCATCGTTGTCATCATCACCACCAACAGTACAACCATCACCGTATGTAGTAACCAACGCATCAACAGCCAGTACTAACGTTCTCAACCAGCCAACATCATCATCCACAATGATGACATCTACATTAATGACAACTAATGCCTCAACCAGTGTTACAGAGTCACAGAAGATTGCCAATATAAATTCTTCACTAATCACTAATCAATCCCTAATTACTAATTTATCCCAACCAATCCCTAACAGTATGACTCCCGTCCCCACACGACCGCTGGTTTTAAATGGCAACAGTAAGAATCACCACAAGGAATTTGCTTCTGGGCATGCTATAAATTCCAAACTTAAAAATAATTTATTTAAAAATCCTTTGGATACAAAATTGAATGACATTGAATCTGGTTTAACTCCTCCCACTTCTACTACTACTACTACTACTCGTGCTACTATTTCTAATGCTACTACAGCTGCTGCTAATAATACTTCTACTACTAATGTTGCTTCTATTACTACTACTACTACAAAAAGTAATAATGGAAGTTCATTGGTTATCTCAGCATCGTCATCGTCTCCATCAAAAATCTCATCTCTTAGATTTCCAGACAATACAAGAAATTTTAGTAATAATGCTACAATCAATCATTTAAACAATGTTACCTCTACTACAACTGCTACGACTTCTACTAGTACTGCTACTACTTCTACTACAACTGCTACTACTTCTACTACTACAGCTACTACTACTACTGCTACTACTTCTACTACTACAGCTACTACTTCTACTACTACTGCTAACAATTTAACTTTCGTTACTCTCGCTTCTGCACCTAAGTCACCTACAACAACCACAACAGCCAAACAGGTAACAAGTTCCTCTCGAAAAAAGTCTGACGTTGAGGAAGTGATTGCTACCTCAAAAGCTGCTACTGCTGCCACCGTTACTACATCTACTACTACTACTCCTACTGCTACTACTCCTACTGCTACTACTGCTATTACTGCTATTACTGCTACTAGTTTTGGAGTTATTCAAGGTAGCATTGAACATGAAACATCCACTCCGATGGTTAAAGTTATAAATCTAAAAAATACTATCTCCAATTTAAACATTAATCACAAAGTTTCTAGTAACAAAAGTAGCAACAATAGTAACAACGATAATAATAATAATAAAAGTAATTTTCATTGGGATGTTTTGTACCTAGAAAACCTAAAATCTTTTGTCAAAATTATTTGCGTATATACTGGGTATCATTTCACAGGATTTTTGATAGGATCAGTTATAATAGTGATAACATCTTTGTCGTTATTCGCTACCTACAAGCTATTTGTCAACTATACGAACGTTAAAAATTACACAAAAGTCGAGCAGAAAGCTAAGCAGCGTGCAGACAACTGCTTGAGATATAAATCCTACGTTGTCTGTGGCGGAGCGCGTTTTTTCATTGGTATTATATCGCTATGTGAGGTTGTTTTAGCTGGTTTTATGCCCTTCATGATAGGTTATTTTGATTCTACTGAGTTAAATTCAAATATAACGCTGTGGTTATTTTTTAGTTTTCTATTTTGGCTGTCCTTCTTTATCGGTAGGTGTTTGTATTATTTATTTTCGGCAAGCAAGTTGCCGGAGTTGTTCATAATGATTTCAGGACTTCTTGGCTCGTTAGCGTGTGCATTTGCTATGTTCATTGCGTCGAACTTTTATCATGCTATATCCTCTTACGTCCTAATCATTTTATTCTCATTACTCGCGCTTTTCATGTCCGTTTTAAATCCGTCTGCTACAAATTACTTCAACAAATTCGCTCTTTCACATGCTGTCGACTTAGTGCAAGACCCAACTCAATATTTCGCCGAGATTTTTGTCGCCACGAACCTGCGATACCTTCCCGTCCGATTGGAGCCTGGTTATTTGATAACAGCGCTGATGATTTTTCTAGTAATTTCTTCTATATATCTGCCAGTTTTTTGTTTAGTCGTGAAATATTTTAGAACTAATTTCGCGGTGCTGGACTCGAGGAATTCTCAGGACGACGAAAGACTTAAAAAAATTAACACTGGCACTCAGATAGAGGAAGAAGAGGAGATGATATGTACGAATTTCGAAGGCTCAACGTCTTGCAATAGACCCTTGCTATCTAGTTAACATCATAACATTTGCGCGTGTGTCTGTAATTGTAACTCAAATACATTGAGTGTTGGTGTAGATTTGTTGAATACATGAGTATATTATACGTTGTTATATTTCAAGTATTATACATCGGGATTGTTTTGTTTATTATACTATATATATATATATATATATATATATATGTGTGTGTGTGTGTGTTTTATTTCTGTTGTTTTATGGAATGTGCTTTGCGAGTTTCTTTTTTTTAAAATCAATGAACCAATTAATAATAATATTAAAAATATTTTTTTTATTAATCTGGGGTTTAAATCATTAAAAAAATTCCATTTTTAAATAAAATCTGATTGTAAATAAGTGAAATGTAAATAAAATGAATCATACAGATGATTTAAATGTCCAAAATGAAAGCTTTTTTTACACACACACACACATATATATATATCAGACGTTTTTACATGTTTATTCATAACTTAGTTTCATCTTTAACAAAATAAAATAACTTTTTAAGGTTTGGCTAACCGCCAGATAAAAAATATCAATTCAATTTATGTATATATACATACAAAATACGCTCTAACACATATATAATGTTTCACTCATGTGCCAGATAGATAATGAAATTATTTTCAAATTCAATTTAAATTTTCAAAATCATAATTTTTAATAATGATTTCAATAACCAATAATAATAATTTATAATTTTTAATAATAATTTCAATAACCAATAATAATAATAATTATTTTTATTTATATTATTGTTTGAAATGTTCATCAGATTTTTAAATATACATACAATCACGATGAATTGCAAAGAAATGAAAACAGTAGCCGAATAAAATAGTTAAATATTTATTAATTTATCAATGTACATAAGTCTAAAAGTTGGCAAAGTCGTTTTAGTAACAATTATGAATACGCTTGAGTATAAATGGAGAAAGATATATTTAGAGATACGAAGAATTATATTTAGAGAGAAAAAGAAGAGAGAGTAGAGAAAATAGACAAAAAATGGATAACATAAAAAATTGAAAGAAAGATCAGAAGTGAGAGACAAGGTATGTGAAATAAGTTAAAAAACAGAAAGTATGAGAGAAAGAGAGAGAGAGAGAGAGAGAGAGAGAGAGAGAGAGAGAGAGAGAGAGAGAGAGAGAGAAATGATTCACGTTATGAAGGCCTGTAACCATGATATGGATTGGGATACAAAGTTGGTTGTGGTTGATAGAAGTTCTGCTGCTGCTGTTGTTGTAGCAACTGCTGCTGATGGTACTGTGAAAGTAATGTTCATTATGTATTGGTTAAGTATTTTATTAAATTAAGTTTATTAAATTTTTGACAACAAATTTACCAGATAACAATTTTCATAACATGATTTTATATTACGTTATCCTGTATAGCTCTCTTCAAGTTAGTTGCTCTTGAAAAAGTTATAAATTAAAAACTCCCCACACACAAAAACGTTTAAAACTCAGCCAAAAGACTAAAAAAATAATAATAACAATAAATGATAACAATAACATCAATAACAACCTGCACGTTGATGTTATTATTGTAAGCAGGAAAGTTGTTATTGATGTATTCACTATTAGGAAAACTGAAACCAATAGGCCTAGCTATCTCCGCCGATGTTGGTGGAATCATTGCGTTGTTGTTGATGTTATTGATGTTTTGCTGTGCCTCGAAATTAAGGATGCCGTTGTTGTCATTATTGTCAGTGAAATCTGAAAATTGAAGTTTTTTTTGCGATTTTACAAGAAATTGTGTAATAGATGTTGACAGAAAATTTGAACAGCTAAAAAGGAATTGAAATTCATTAAAAATTTGCGTGTCGTCAAGATGATACAGTTTTAGATAGAATAACTGAAAAATGATATATTTAATGTGATATAATTAAATAAATTATCATGATATAATTAAATAAAGTATCATGATATAATTAAATTAACTTGAACTAACAACTATCCATGAATGAAAACGATCTTGGAGCTGTTGCTCGTACTTCTTCCTAAAAGTATAATGAAAAAATAAAATTCAATCAAATAAAATATTCATTAATCAATCGATTAATCAATTAATTAGTCGTTTTCATTCATAGATAGCTGTTAGTTCGATTTAATTTAGTTATATCATGATACTTTATTATTACTAGATAAATTATTGACTAGTAAAGCATTTCTGTATTCGCATGCAATCTATACAAACAGATACAACCAAATACAAAACACAGACGAGCAAATACAAAAATATACAAATACATACAGAAACATGAGTTTGTACCTGATGTGGTAAGACACTCCTAGTAGAATCTAACTTTATTCTTTTATTTTCAATCTCCAGTTCTCTCAATCTCTCACTCAATTTTTCATTATCTCTTTGCAACTTTTCAACTATTTCAATACTTGTGCTGTTGTTGTTGTTGCTGCTGTTGATGATGTCATTTTGTGAGTTGTTGTTGTTGTCCGGGAGTGGTTGTTGTTCTTTTAATAACTTTACTTCTTCTTCTAACACAAATTTTTCCTGAAAAATAATTTTTTAAAAGTGATTAAGGTGCATTTTATTAAAAAATATAATGTAAAATACAGACTTTTAGTTTATTTAATGTTAATTAAATGATAATTTCATGTTAATTTAATATTACTAACTGAAAGCAATTCATCAACTTGAGACTTTAGTTTATCATTCTCACACTCCAACTCTTTAAATTTTGTTGTCAGTGAAGAATCACCTTGGATCTAGGGGAGTAAAAAAATGAGGATTTACTGATAAAAATATTTTTAAAATAATAAAGAGTTGTACAATAATTAAATTAATAAATAAATAAAAACAAACACATTTAAAATCTACAAACATTTAGGCTTTTAACAACATCAACACTTTTCATATCAACCAGACTACATCGACTTTCGTTGGGAACTGTTAGCATAGAAGTGTCATCAATGACTTCAAAATCATCAACTATGAACTGGAAAACTTTACTAATGCCAGCTAATCTATCGTCTGATGTCACATAACAGAAATGATAAAATTCTGTCTCATCCACTTCGAGTTTTTCAACTGATGGTATAATTAAAAAAATTATGTATTATATTATAATATAATAATTATAATATATAAAATGGTAATTTATATGTATTTAGATGGCTGATCCATATGTATTTGGATAGTTGGTCCCATATTTAGTCAGATGATTGGTTTTATATTTATTTTATTTATAATAGAGACCACATAATTTTTTCAGATGATTTAATTAATTTAATTATATATGACATTTTGTGTTTTGTCCCAATGTCAACTCATGAATAAAATGACTCAAATAAGAAAAACTATGTTAAAACGAAACAAAATATTCACTAATTAGTTATAAATTATATTATTAAGTAAAATCACCATCAAGCTGAAAAATGAAGCTCTCCTTGCTATCAGGATTCAGTTCCTTGACATACTTTGCCAGAATTCTTTCATCTGATTGGAGCCAGCCAACTTTGAACAGGCCAACCCAGTCAGTGAGGGAAGCCGTAAATGCCGGATCTATCACTAATTCAACTTCCAACTTGCAATCCGTCACATACTTATTTTTAAGATTTTTAAATGTTACTAAATCGTAACGAACTATGGATTCTTGCATTATTTTACGATTTATATATAATAAAAAAAATTATTAAACTATTTAATTTTTATTATTTTAATTGTTTTAATCGAGTGTTTATATTTTTAATCTAATTTTTTACTTGTTACTACTGTTAGGTTGTTAAAATTTATCTTACAGTGTTTTTTTTTCCAATAATGAATAATATATTAATAAAATGTATAAAAATCCCCCAAAAAATAGGCAAAACAATGAATTTACTTGTTTGAAATAATATTTTAGTAACAAATTTATACTAAAAATCGTAAAAATATTAGCCGATCTCGTGTGATTTCTTACCGTCTACTCATTAGATTAAATTATTTTGCTAATATTTTTAAGTTAAAACAGAACGCAGCTTTTGTTGTTTAATTACTTAGATTCACTTTTAGTCGGTCTTTTTAAATTTTAAATGTTCCGAGTTAAATATTTCAAAATTAGTGTTAAAACATCATTAAAAATGAAATATTTGATAAAAAAAAGTTGTAAATAAATGAATAAATTAATTTTTTAGCAAAATCTTTTTTAATTTTTTTAATAATCACATTAACACCGTTGGTTTGATTTGCAAATTTCTGTTTTTTTCAAGTTCTGTTCATCATCAGCTTCAATCGCCATCTTCACTAATCTAATCTAATCTTAAATTAAAGTTACTAACTAAACCAAAAGAGTTGCTATTGAAATCTATCAATAAAATTAAGTAATTTAAAAAATGGCATCTTCGAGAGGACAGTTAGAAACTTCAACACTAAAACAAAACATGGAAGACCAGTTGGACAGATTGATGGAACAACTGGCCGATATTGAACAGTCTAAGTTAGTGAAAATAGTGTAATTAGTGATTAAATTAGAATTATTAATGGTTGGTTTTTTTTATCTTACTTGTTAAATATAGATTGCCAAGTTATGTTATCCCTTGAAAATATATTATTATTATTATTGTCATTAATAATTTTATTAAAAATATATTTAGAAATGATCTGGACCCCTGTGAGTATGAGGAAATGAAGAATGATACGATGGAACAGTTGAGTGAGTTCAATCTGTCACTCACAAAAATGAAGGAAGGGAACTTGAGTCTCGTTGATGATCTGAACAACATGCAGTTGGTCAGTTAGTCGTCATCCTCCTCATCATCACCATCACTGTCATCATCATCATCATCATTTTCATCATCATCACCATCACTGTCATCATCATCATCATCATCATTTTCATCATCATCACCATCATAGTCAGCATCTTCCATGTGACTTTTCAGAATTTTTATATTTTTTTTTTAATAAAAAAATTATACATAAGGCCATTCAAGCAGCCATAAGCCAAGCCTTCAAAACACCAGAGGTTATCAAGATGTTTGCCAAGAAGCAACCTAATCAATTGAGGGAATGCCTTCAACAGGTGTTTTTTGTATTAATTTGTATGCAAACTTAAATACCCATTATATACATACAAAAATCATGTGCAAACACGCGCATACATACAATACATTCATTCAAACAAACACAGATAAATTTCTTATACTTATACAAAAAATTTTAATTAACACAAACTGTGATCAAATTAAATTCTACCTAAAGGTCGAAAGAAATTTAAAAATTAATCAAATTTCCCAAGAAGATGCAAGGAATAAAAAAGTAGAAGTTCTAACTGCCTTGAAAAAACTTAAAGAACCTTTAAGTTCCGAAGAGGAGGCCTACCTAGCTAAACATTCATCTAATCTCGGCGTCAAATTTCAAAAGATTGAAGATGACGTCATAATAGATGGCGGTAGTAGTAATAATTTAGGTTCGCTTTTGGTTGTGCTTTGTTTTTTGTTTTTACATGTTTATGTTGTTGGTGTTGTTGTTGTGTTATTTTTATTGTTAATATCATCATCATCATCATTATCATCATCACCAAAGGTAACGGTAAGGTTCTCAAAGCAGTCAAAGAGCAGGTCAAGGCTTCGTCAATTAATCAGTAGTTGCGATGACGACGATGAAGAAGAAGATGATTGTTATAATGATGATGATGATAATGATAATAATAATAATGATAATAAAAATGATAATAATAACAGTGAAGATAATGATGGTGACGACGACGATGTTTGTCTTATAAACACGCCTTTCAACAACTTTCTACAGTCATGTTTTACAACTAATTTATTTGCTGTTTCAACATATAAATAAATAAATATACAAATACATATATATATGTACACACACACACACGCACACACACACACACACACACACACACACATATATATATATATATTCGTTGGAACTGTGTAGTACTATTTTTGATGTTGCGTAATAAAATATTGTGTTATTCGTTATTTATTATATGGTGTGTTGTGATTTGATCAAAATTTTTCTCCTTTTTCTTTTCTCTCTCCCTATGTATATCTATAACATGATATAACACGCACAAACACACACACATACACAAACAAACACACATACATACACACACAAACACACACGCACATTCTCTCTCGCATGCATGCAAGCACGCGAAATAATTTATAGATTTATAAGCGCTTTTATATTAAAATTTTGCTTGCTTTATATATATATAATATAAATTCATTATAAAAGCAACAGTAATCAGTGCTGCATACGTACGCACGCAGTTCAATTTTTTTTTGGGAAAATTCAAAATAGTTTGAGACCACACTTTGCTTAACATCCAATTCCAAGCCAAGCCAAGCTGAGCCAATATGCGTAGATTTATAAGCGCTTTTGTATTAAAATTTTGCTCGCTTTATGAACAAATATCCCAAATATCGATTTCAATGAAATAACGCGAGCGAGTTTAAAAAATATTTTATTCAAAATTTAATTGAAATAGAACATATTCACAAGTTTTGATTGCCAAGTAATTCCATTCAATCATTTAGACACACACATTCTTTAATTAAACTATCTCACAATCTATTTCTTTTTATGCTTATCAGTTTTCCAGATTTTGAAAAATCTTGTTCTCTCGGTATGGAAGTTGAGGGGATACAAATATTGATACTGTTTTTATAATTACAGAAAAATTATCCAAAATACAAATTAACAATATTAAGCGATAACACGTCAAATTGATTTTATAGTTTTAAAGCCTCTCTTTAATCAGTCAGTCAGTCACTCCGCCAGCCAGCCAGCTAGCCAGCCAGCCAGCCAGCTAGTCAGTCATCTAGCCAGCCAGCCAGTCAGTTTTTCTCTCTCCTTTTTTTCTATTCCCCAACTTATTTACTTATTATTATAATGGAAGTCGTTGATTGAAATGAATTCGTCCAGAGTGAGCCACCACAAACGTTTTGCGAATAACTATCCTTTCTTCCTATGGCAAGCTTGCTGACATTTGACGTAAATTAATAAATAAAATTCGTTAAAAAATTATGAGAAAAAGAGAAAGAGGGAGGGAGTGAAAAAAATAAGAAAAAAGAAAAGAAAGAAAAACAAAAGTTTAATAAAGCTGAGTGTGTATAAATTTCACAAACTTTTAAAAGTATCTGTATATAAACGTTAAGAGAAATAATTTTGTACTTGATTTTTGAGTTTTTAATAAATTTTTTTTACAAATGTTCTGCAAGTCGACTATTTTAATTTTTGATAGTTTTACAAGTTCTGCCTTTCATGTTATTCTTTTTTTTCTTCTAGATATTTATCCGATTTTTCGTCAAAATAATTGTGATAATAATTTGAACCAAGACTGCTACTACTACTGCTGCTACTACTACTACTAATACTGCTACTACTGCTGATACCACTACTACTACAGCTGCTGCTTCTACTATTACTGCTGCAACTTTAACAGGTATTTTTACTGCTTATAGATCGTTAAGTCGAAGGTTAAGCAGTAGAATTTTATACAGTAATATTTTTGATGAATTTTTTAATAATTGTGAACCAACAGAAAAAAGGATAACCGGATAGATGGATGAATAAATGGATAAACAGATAAATGGATAAATAGATAGATGGATAAATAAATGAATGAATGAAATGATAAATGGATAAATAGATAAGAGAATAGTTGGCGGTAAGGTATAATGTTTTTCGATTTCTAATGACCATGATGGCGATGATGACGTCATTTTGTTGTTGTTGTTGTTGTTGTTGCTGCTGCTGCTGATGATGATGATAATGTAATATAAATAATGACGATGAGATGATAGTTTGGTTTTGGGTAGACATTATTTCACTGTCTATGTTTTAGCAATGCTTATACACTCGTAAATATTTAATATGATAGCGATCAGACAATAATAACAACAACAACAATAATAATAATGATAATAATAATAAAAATAATAACAATGATACCAAAGAACAACGTCAATAACAAAATAATAAAAAAACTAATGGCCGCAAATTAATTTTCTAGCCACATTAACGAACGACAAGTGCCTCATTACAGATAGAAAATCAATTTACCCTATCTACACACGCACGCACGCACACACACACGCGCGCACGTACACGCACACACATACATACACACATAAAAATGCGGCAAAGTCAACGGAGCTGATGTTCGTCGTGGGAAGAAGTGTTGCAGAAAAACATTAGTTGGAAAGAAATTTTGAATATAGCTCATAAGAGGCAGAGTGGGAGTGTCGATGACTTTTCAAAGAGTTGGGACTGTCAGGCAAGAAGCGTACCTCATGCCTGAAGAAAGTTATTAGTAGCGCTGAGCAAGCTTTGTGTTGGTTGTGGCTGGATAGAAATAAATAGGAAAGTCGTCTGAATTAGCAAGCCATGGCTACAGTGAGACGACTTCGTATGGCAAACAGATCAATACCGCTGGAAGATCAGCAGCCATCGTGAAGCGTTCGAGTGATCAACGAGGATGTAAGGAGGTTGTTAAGTAAGGGCCGAAACATTTGACGAAGGGGATTCCTTCTCTGAGGACTTTTCGATGATTTGGCTCAACGGATTTTTCACACACACACACACACACACACACACAAACAAATTTTTTTTTGGATTTCTTGACAATTTTTAGTTAAGGCACTATTACAAGTATCTTTCTGTTTACTTTTTGTGTTTTTGAAGAAATAAATAAATAAATCCATGTAGAGAATAATTTTTATTCATTGATTACAAAATAAATTATTAAATTATTTATGTTATTATTATCATTTTATTATTATAATCATTTATTATTATTATTATTTTTTAATTATTCTCAGACAGCTCCTTGCATTATTGATGGTTTAATTTTCGCTTGTATTTAAAAAAAGAAATGTTGAAACGCTGTTAAAAAAATTTTCAGACATAACGAAAATGCCGTTGGTGAGGGTGATGATGGTGACAGTGCTGGTAATGATGATAATTATAATGATGATGGTGATGGTAATGATGGTGATGGTGATGATGACGTTTCCTTGAAAAGCCAAAAGAAGTTCAATGAGATCTTGCAAGATTTCTTCTATTATTTATTTTGTAATCAAAAGAAGGTACTGACGTCTGAGCTATGCTGATGATGATGACGACGACGATGATGATGATGATGAAGATGACGATGAAAATGATGATGATAACGATGATGACGATGCTAAAATTATGATGATGATGGTAGTGTGGCTACGATGACGACGACGATGATGATAAAGATGATGATGATGATAAAGATGATGATGATGATGTCATGATGATGATGTCATGATGATGATGTCATGATGACGATATTGTTGTAGTAATGGTGATAATGTTATTGTGATGGTAAATAATTAATAAAAAAATAAACGAATGAATAAATGAAAAAAAAAAGATTCAGTAAAAATATCGAGAAACCTCTGGAGGTGCATCTATATCACAATGCCTCTACAAACTCAAAAAAAGTTCATTTCATTCATTCAATCGTTCATTCAATCGTTCATTCATTCGTTCGTTCGTTTGTTAGTTCGTTCGTTCATTCATTCATTCATACGGTCCACAGTGGGCTCTATAAGATTAAGCAACAAATGACAAACTGCGGAATTCCAAAATCCTCTCACTATAACGAACGCGCAGTTATAAAATACACCAGATACACACATACACACACACACACATACATACATACAAACATACCTACATGCATGCATGTACACAAACATACAAAACAAAATTCTCGTTCATCATTCATAATTTTTTTTCTAAGCTCTCTATGTGCAAGAAAGTCTAAAAAAAACTTTGATAGGTGTTAAATATAAATAATGCATCGTTCGCTCATAAAAGTTTAAAAATTGTTTTGTATGGTTTTGCATAAACATTGTATGTGTTTAAGTATGTTTGTTAGTATGTTCGTATGTATGTTTGTATGTATGTTCGAATGTATGTTTGTAATACCTACATACATACAAATAAACAAACATACATGCATATATGCATAACAACATACATACATACAATCACATACATACATACATACTTACATACATACATACAATCACATACATATATTAACACGTAGATTTTAAAAAAAGCTTTCAGAACAAGTCGACAATTCTTATTTACCGCTACACTAGCAGTACATATGTTCATAATATTTTATGCGTGTCTAAATATGATGTACGTATGTTTGTGTGTATGTATGTTTGCGTGTATATATGTTTACATGTATGTTTGTATGTATGTTTATATGTCAATGTCAAAAACACAACAACAAAAGCAATAAAATCTAATTATAATCCAATAAAAATTTTTTTTTTCTGTTTGTTTTTTTTTCAACATAAAAAACACATGTGTGTAAACTGTTTGTTTGTTCGTTTGTATGTGTGTTTGTATATATGTGTGTATGTGTTTGTATGTACGTGTGTATATGATCATCCTCATCGTCATCGCTATTACTTTCCTTTTGATAATTTCATTCCAGGCCGCCTGTCATGCAAGTTGGAACAAAAATTAAATACAAATTTTAATATCAATGAAAAATTTATAAAGGGTTATCTTGTATGTATGTGTTTGTATGTTTACGTGTGTGTCTGTATGTTTATGTGTGTG